TTTTGCTTGAATCCAAATGAATCTTGGTGAGAAAGTGGGGCAAAGTTAGGAAACAATTAGGTTTTTTTCATAACTTAGAAAAATTCTAAGTTATGAAAAATCTTCATTTCAAACCCTAATTTGCAATTCTTGATTTCTTGATGAACAAGTTTCATGATTTGGCATGTTTTGATGAAAAATGAATCTTGACACTTGATTTTGACCAAAAAGTCAAAGTTTGACTTTTCAGTATACAGTCAAAATTGATCAATTGACTGGGAAATTCAACTGTCAATCTTGTGCTTTTGGGATCTTTTGAACTTGTTGAGCATGTCAAGACAATTCCATGGGGTCCTTGAGTCCATATGTGAGTTTGGTTTGCCATTGGCTAGGTCAAACAGTCAAAAATTGCCTTTGTGCAGTCAAAACCCTAAAAATGACCATTTTGCCCTTTTGGTGATCTGATCAAATTTCTTGTGGAATTGTGATCCAAACTTGATAAAATGGTCCATGTGAGTTCATAATGTTGATGTGGGTCAATTTTCATGAGATTTGACTGTCAATTGGCCACAATTGACTTTTTCCCCAACACAGCTGATTTCTAGGTCAATTGTCCAATTGACTGGGCAAAATTTGGAATCAAGACTTGAAACTTGGTATGGACAAACTTGGGAGTCCAACATGAAGCATGAAAGTCATCTTAGGCATTTTAGGTCAAAATATCTTTGTGCAAACACAAACCCTAATTTGGGTCAACAATGCAAGGAGAAGTCTTGAGCAGAGGAAACCCTAACTGGATCTTGAGCTCCAAGGGTCTTGTGATGAGAAAATATTGAGGAAATGGGAGGGAAAATTTTGGGGTACAACATGTATGGTATCAAACAAGCCCCTAGGTCTTGGTATGAGAGACTTAGTAAGTTCTTACTTGATTAAGGATATTCTAGAGGGATGATTGATACAATTTTTTTCATTAAACGTCAAGAAAAACATATTCCAGTCGTTCAAATTTATGTTAATGATATCATATTTGGTCCTATTAACATGCAATTAGTCAAAGAGTTTTAAAAGATAATGCAGGAAGAGTTTGAAATGAGTCTAATGGGAGAGTTAAATTACTTTCCCAGACTTCAAATCAAACAACTCAAAGAAGGGACATTTGTGTGTTAAACAAAGTATTTCCAAGAGTTGCTTAAACGCTTCAGTATGATAGATGCAAATTCAATTGACACTTCAATACCCACAAATGGAAACTTTGACAAATATGAAGATGGTAAGAATGTTGATGTCAAAAGGTATAGAGGTATGATTAGATCTCTCTTATATATTACTGCATCTAGGCTGGATATTATGTTTAGTGTGTGCATGTGCGCTCAATATCAATCTGCTCCTAAGTAATCTCATTTAAAAGCCTTAAAATGCATCCTTAGAAATTTTCATGGCACTTCTAAGTATGGGCTTTGGCATCCCAAAGGATGCGATTGTAGTTTAGTTGGTTACTTTAATTCTGATTTTACCGATTACAAATCGGATAGGAAGAGCACTAGTGAAACTTGCCACTTATTTTCAAATTATTTAGTTAGTTGGCATAGAAAGATACAAGTCTTTGTTGCCTTGTCAACTACTGAGGTGGAATACGTTGCTGCAGGTAGTTGTTACACTCAAATTTTGTTGCTTAAACAATAATTACTCGGTTTTGACATTAAACTTCAACGTATTCCGATAATGTGTGACAATACTAGTGCTATTAGTCTAACTAAAAAGAATGTGCTACACTCTCGTACTTAACTTATTGAGATATGTCACCATTTCCTATGCGATCATGTTGAAAAAAAGAATATTATCTTCGAGCATGTTGATAGCAAAAATCAACTTGCCGATATTTTCACAAAACTTCTTGCGATTGAACCATTTTTTAATATTCATTGGGAATTGGGCCTTCTCGATATCTCAAATTTTTCCTAAATACTTTGATGCATGAACTGTCTATATAATTGTTTTAACCTTCTTTAAAAAGTTCTAGTTCACGTGAGTGTATCATTCGTTTCTCATCCTATGAGGTAATATCGTTTCACTTCTCTCTTTGTTCGTAAGTTTTTATTTCTCACATTTCTTATCTATGTCTCTTGTAATTTGATTGCATGTTAATGTTCCAAAGATATGTAATATATTTTATGTGTAATACAATCCCATGAATGTTTACTTTAAAGAATGTTGTTGTTAACATATGAGTGTTATTAATCTATATGCTTATAGTGACTTCATGTTTTAATCTTTTGTATTTCATCATCATTTGTAGTTCATGGTATGAATTCTTTGTATTTGAAATATCTTATGATATGTTTCTTGGACATGTTATTTATCTCTCTTGCATTTTTTGCATTGTTGGTTATTTATGTTTATACATTTTTTTCACCTCATTCTCATTCTATGTGAGTGATGGTGTTGTTGATCAAAATTATCTTTGTAATGCCTCTGAGTGATATATATGTGATTATGTGTTTTACTCGATGTTTCTTACCTTTTGTGGCCTTTTCTCTTTTTGATGTTGCAAAGGGGGAGAAGTTGTGCAAGAACAAAAAACATTGTCTCGTCTAGTTTTGCAAATATAAAAAGAGAGATGCATATGTTCAACGGGAGATATGATCAGAGATTACAAATAGTCATATGTTTTGCCATCATCAAAAAAGGGGAGTATGAGAGTGCAATATCATCTCTTAGATGTTTTTAATGATATCAACACTAGGTAATATGTAGTATTTGTATATTGGACCTTATTTCTATGTCTATGTTTCATTTTCATCTTAGGACACTTATAGAACGAGTCAAAAGCATTTGGAAAAGTTCATAATGTCAAAAATATATATTTTTATGAAAAATCATGTTTGGAGTCGACACACCCGTGGTAGGAGTCGACTCTCTCTGAAGCATTTTTTTGAAAATAAAACTCTCTGTCAAAAAGGAGTCGATACACAAGGTCTTAGAGTCGATACACAACATGAAGGAGTCGACTCCCTCGAGCTGTGGGTCGACTCCCACTGAAAGTGTTTTTGAAAAATAATTTTTTGTCCATAATGGGTCGACTCCCAGGCACTTCGAGTCGATACATAACACGAAGTAGTCGACTCCCACGTGTTATGTCTCGATTCCTGTAGAATCATATTTTCTCAAAATCTTTTCTGTTCACTTGGAGTCGACTCTCAAGTAGTATGGGTTGACTCCTTTGCCCTTATGAGTCGCCTCCAACTATTTAAAATGTCCAATTTTAAAATTTTGCATCCCTATTTTTTGTGTTTTATTCTTTCACACACACACACACATCATTTCTCATTCATTGAAACAAAAAATATATAAATGTTTTCATCATCTTCATTCTTTCTCATTACATACATACAACAACTACACATAATCATTTTTGTTGTGTGATCAAGAGATAATTTGATAACATCCAATTTAGGATTATGTGTAATTAATTGGGTTGGAAAGTTTTTGGGGTTTCAAGATGAATGTATTTGGGGTTTTCTTCCAAGATCAAAGATTGATTTGAGAGTTTTTCACAAGATTGCACAATTTGGATTCAGCCGAGTGAAAGCTTTGAAGAACGGGGATTTCTGTCAAAGGAGTAACGGTGACCGGAGGATCACTTTGGTAATCTTGGGTCACGATACGTTCACAATTTGGATTCAACCAAGTAGAGACTTTGAAGAATATGGGTTCTTTCAAGGGAGTAGTGGTAACTGGAGGATCAAATTGGAAGTATCGGGTTACTTGATCAAGCTTTGATCAAGGGGAGAGAAGAAGATAGGATCAACATCAAACTTAGGATTTTGAGGGTTGAATTTCTATTTTTCTCTTGTAAAACTATATTTGCAAATTTTAATTTTCATTATCTCAATTCCAAACGGACTTGGGGACAGACGTACCCATAAATGAGGCCGATTAGAGAACTGCCAAAACAAATCTTCGTCTCTCTCTCTCTCTCTCTCTCTCTCTCTCTCTCTCTCTCTCTCTCTCTCTCTCTCATTTATATTTACTTGCAAATTGTGAAATAATTGATTGCGCAATCGATACATAGAGATAATCTCTTTGTTTAATAATTCAAATTGTTTTGTTGAGTTGATTACAATCTAAGTGGTTATAATTGGATTTATATATCAACAAAATCATAGAAAAATCTGTTTTGAATCGATTGCACACAAAGTATTCGACAAATTGCTTATATCAATTTTTGTTTGATATTTCATTGGAAATAGATTACTATTGTGTGATTTAATTCAAACGTGGTTGTTGAAAATATATTAATTATTTTTCTCATCTTGCATATTCGTTCTATCGGTTTGACGCATGTCCGATCTTTTCGATAATGATTCAGATATACGATTGTCGATGCGAGATTGTTTTCGCGCGTCATAAATAAACATTTTTAAAACAATATTTTTAGTAAAAAAAATTAATTTGTGATCTATTCACCCATCTCTAAATCATAGCCTATTATTTAACATGTGTTGCATCTGAAGTACATTTTGAATAATTAAATGTAAAAATTGCTTTTCTTCTCGAAGAAGAAGAAATATATATGCTCTGACCAAAAGATTTTGAAGAACAAGGAAAGTAAAACTTGGATTTTGAGTCCACCACCATAGATCGATCTCTAGCGATATTAACTTTCCCTCAAAAACCCGTAAAAACTCCACGAATAACGGCTGCTCCCACGCATAGAAACCTCTCATCCACCTAAAATCTCAAATTAGACCACTATCGGGCTGAAAGCCCATCTCCCCCTCTTTACCATCTTTCATAAGAGATGTCTAAAACATCCTGAGAAAAAATTCTTAAGGGGTATAGAAACATCCAAAGATCAAGGTAAGAACCAACCTTTTTTTAAAATCTCCTAAAACCAATCAGACAATGTGCAGAAAATCATAACAAAGTAGTACTTTTCATTTCTCATTTATATATGAACGTACACTAGTAGTAATTGATAAAAATAAAATGTGAGTTTACACTAAAGTGCCTAATTATATTTATGCATTAGAATGTTGAAAGGAAATTTGGCCGTAGTAGGAGGTGAATGGAATGTCATGGTTGTGAACACCTTCATAAGTTGTTATCACATAGCTTGAGTCATCTCTATCCCTTTCCACTCTTTTCTTCACATTGCATCCAACACTTGAACATTTGTAGTAGTTCCTGTGTCATCATAATTAATTTATTAGCATTAATTATTAATGTAATCTCAAAGTTGTTAAGCCTTATATGATGGTATTTCCTTTTTACCTTAGGTTGTGATTGTTCTTGACAGACTTCTTTCCATACTTCCTCCATTTGTATCCATCATCCATAATCTCAATCTCTGATCTTGTTCTAAATGCTATCTTTGGCACCACTTCTCCTTTTTTTCCTTTAATCCCATTTTTGTTCTTTCTGCAAAACATAATTAAATCCAAAATATGTATACACTTAATTAGCAAAAAAAATATATAATAAAAATAAAGAAGAAGAAGAAGAAAAATCAAAGGAGAAGAAAAATACAAGTTATTGTTATTAGAGGTTGCATCATTGAATTCTTCTTGATTGACATCATTGAAGGTTACTTTCTCTAATGATTCAATACTTTGTGACCTAGATTCTTGATCATGATGATCAATACAAATATCATCAAGCATGAGATATTCAGATAGTATAAACTCATGAGAAGAGGAAGAAGGAACATGGTTCATATGAGTAGAGTAACCAAAATTGGGATTAGGATGAGGGTTTACAAAATACAAATCCATTGGAGTGTGTATGACTATAGTTAAGTCATTGATTTTTATTATTAGTATTATTGTTATAAAATAATGTTAGTGTCATAAGAAGGATAAAAGAAATGATTTTTCTACTATGCTTTTCTATGAATGATACTTCCAATCACCTTCCTAGATGGATTCCATGAAGGCTCCTCTATATACCACGTGCCCACTATCTTGGATATTAAGGTGATGTCATTATGATGACGTTATTTTTATTGAAGCCACTAAAGTTACTATCAATAACCAATACTATTATTGTATTTAATTTCTCATTAGAGCTATTAATAATTAATTTATCATAATTAATTTATACTTGCGTTTTTATTATTATCACATCAATTTTAATCATATATAGTTGTTGGTCGGGATAAGATTACCAATTTGAAGGGTCAACTTGTATAAATTATAAAAAGAAAAATTAAATAAATACATTGAAATTGTGATGCATTATAACTAAAAAAACGATCTATGTTTTATATGAGTGAAAAAATATATTTTGAATAACAAATAGAATTAAATATATTTTTAATATTCACGAGTCACTAAAAAATTCAACTAATATTTGATAGGTGAGTTAAATGGGTGCGAAGTGTTATTATAGAATTTAATATTTAATAATAATATTTGTTTTATAATATATTTTTGTAAATAAATTATTAATATTTATAAATTAAAATTTTATTTTTAAGAAAATCTCTTTAAATATATTAAATTGTTTTTTATTTCTTTTTAAAAATTCTGAATGCTAATTCTTTTAAATTTTCTATTACTAATTTTGACCTTTTTCAAAAATTTACTTAATAATTTTTTGAATGGTAGAATATGTCAGGGGTCCCTATAAGTATGACAAACTTTAATTTTAATTCCTATAAAAAAATTCTTCAAACAATGGTCCCTACAAAATATTTCATCCATACAAGTCCCGTTAGATTCTATTAACGATTGCTTATGTGTCATGCCAATTGTGTTATTTTGTTTGACACGTAGGATCAATGTCTAATAAAAGGAGAATTAGTCACGTTTGGAACTCTAAATCCACTCTTCTGCATTCCATTTTCCACTGAATTCTTCTTCATATTATTATCAACCCTAATAATCGTCGTCTTCGTAACTCATATTCCAGTTATTCTTCTACGATTATTTCACGGTAAGATACAATGTCATCTTCGTCAAGGAGAAGCAAGTCAACCTCGTATCAATCCACAAACAGTCCAAGGAGGAGGTGTGCGTGTGTGTTAGCTAAAGATTTCGATATTTGATAAAAATATGAAAATTGATTTGAGAAGATCATGTTTTAAAAAAAAACATGAAATTTGACCTTATAAGGTTATTTTATAAAGCTCATTTTTATGATTCGACATGTCGAAGGGAAACTTAAAGTGAAAGAAGTATTTCAAGATATGTGAATACTTCGACAATCATGTTGGTTGAATTCAAAGTTGAATTCAAAAGCTTCGAGCGGAAAGTTTAAATTTCAAACTAATGCATTTTCGCCAGGAAGACGTGTGGAAGCGTCAGAATGTATGCATGTAAAAGATGTCGAACATGGCGTAATCTCATAGAAAGACCGTTAGGATCGAATTAGTATAAATAGGAGTCTTAGATGTTAGGATTCGGTGTGTTCACATTGTATATAAATCACTCATACTCAAAGTACCAGAGTGAGAGAAAAGAGTTTATTGATAATGTATGTGTAAGAACACCATCATTTTATTCAAAGTTGTTTTCTTATTACAAAGTTATTTTAATTGTTTTCTTTATTCCTTTTTCTAGTCAAACACTTTTAACAGATTTTGTCGAACTTCCTTTAATAAGAATTTTTTCTTTATATTTTATAAACATTTAGATCATTTCCTTTAAAGTTATATTTAGGATTCATAGCCAAATTTTAAATATCTTGAAGTAACCATAATCACATAGAAAGACCTTATTATTATATCAAATTCTAAGTCAAATTGTAACACAAAGACACATGCCCTAGGATCAATCTAGTCGATCCTGTAAGTTACCAAAACATAGAGTTTGAAGACTAGAGATTGTTTGTCAGAAATCACTGGTAAATAAATTGGCACGCCCAGTGGGACTCGTGTCGAAGTGGTTTAGTCACATTGCTTGTGTTCTTTCAATTAGGGTCTTTTTAGTTTCTCTTAGGAACAAATTCTTGTCTTTAGTATATGAACCTTAGGAGTGGTAAGATAACTAACAATAACCAATCAATACCCAAAAGAAAACAGACAAGAAAAATGGTTAATAATACCAATAGCGGAGGAGGGCAAAATCCTCCACAAGGATCAGGCACAATCATGGCCAATTCGACGAATACGTCAACTGCAATCCCTGATTCACAAGCCATGTCCACATCCACAGGACCCATGGCTACAAATAGTTCTATACCTGGATCTACAGGACCCATGCCTACGAACAATTCGACAACCATGCCTGTTTCTACAAGTGTGGGAGAGATTCCTTCGAATACTCAAATCGGCCATGTGTTGGCATATGTTGGGAATCAGACTCAACCTACAACCCCAAGGCCACCAGGGTTTGGAAATTTTGGGCCTTGGAGGGAGCAATCCCAATATGGGATGCCAACTTCCTTTATGCCAGGGTTACACAATAATACATCCACAAATACACAGCCTACCATGACAACCTTTTCGCCAGTACAAAATTCCGGTTCTGGTATGAACCATATGGGTCAAAATTTGCAGAACCAAGGATTGTCAAACCAAATACCTATTCTTACAACTAATAATCAAGAAACATTTAGGAAACAAATGGACGCTAGTAACCATGACATGGTCGGAGTAATTGCCCGTGAAATGAATGCCATTTTCTCCCCTTTGATCCAAAATGTTAATAGGACAAACCAAGAAAATATCCAATCCTACCAGCAAATGTTAGCGCAGATGGCGCGCATAGCAGATTTCTTTGGAGCCCCCCAAGCACCTATTCGACGTAGGCAAAACCAAGGGGAAATTCAAGAAGAAGAACCCACTATCAATCAGGTTCGACCACCCAGACAAGAGGTTGGTGAAAGGAACATGAGGGTAAGGGTAGAACAATAAGATATTCAACATTAGATCCCTGAGTAGCAACCCAGGAGAGTAGTAATGGTTAATAGAGATCAAAATGCAGAAGAAGTGATCCATAGAGTTAGGCAGGATAACATGCTGGCTGAAAATAATTTAACCACCATGATTGAGAGAATCATGGCCCTGAATGGCCTGAACACAGGTTTTCGACGGCCAAATTACACATATCCATTGACAAATTTTATTTTGCAGGCTGAATTACCAAGGGGTTGTAAATTCCCTAAATTCATAAAGTTTTCAGGAGATACTAACGAATCAACTGTCGAACATGTGGCTAAGTATCTAATAGAACCAGGGGATTTGGAAAATAATGAAAACTTAAGGATAAAATACTTTCCTAGTTCATTAACAAAAAACAATTTTGCGTGGTTCACCACATTGCCACCAAATTCTATAGATACATGGCCTCATTAGAGAGATTATTCCATGAACAATTCTACATGGGGAAAACTAAGATAAGCCTTAAGGAGTTAGCCAGCATCAAAAGAAAGTTTATTGAACCTATAGATGACTATTTGAATAGGTTCGTTTATTAAAGTCTAAATGTTTCACAGTAGTACCTGAACATGAATTAGTCGAAATGGTCGCTGGGGGATTAGATTACTCCATTCGAAAGAAACTAGATACTCAGTATCTAAGAGACATGGCCCAATTAGCAGATAGAGTTCGACAAGTCAAACTTTTAAAAGCAGAAAAGGCCAGAGCAAGTAAAAATTATAAGAAAGAGAGGGTAGCTTATGTCGAAGCCGAAGAAGAAGAAGTAGGGGCCTTCAATGATATGTGTAATTTTGGGGAATTCGAAGTAGATCTGGTTGAACTAAAAGAAGCACCCCCATACTCTTGTAAAATGCTTACACCAGCAAGGCAGAAATCCCGTCGAAACAGAAAAGAATGAAAAATTTCCCAAGAAAACTTATACGTTTGACATTTCAAAATGTGATGAGATTTTTTATTTGCTTGTAAAAGATGGTCAAATGGTAGTGCCTCCTAATGCAAAAATTCCTCCGTTAGAACAACGGAAGAAAAGAGGCTTTTGCAAATATCATAATTTTCAGGGCCATAAAACTTCACAATGCTTTCTTTTCAGGGATCTTATTCAAAATGCTACCAAAGAAGGACGCTTGAAGTTTGCTGACAAAGCCAAGAACTACATGAAGATTGACATTGACCCCCTCCATGTTGCACACACCAATTATGTTGAACCTGTGGAAATCAACATGGTGGAATATGAGGAAGAGGCCAATAGCGTCGAAAGCTCAAACATGAATGGAAAACAGGCTACTGAAGACCTAACTAACATAATCCCTGGCGAAAATATTTCTGTAGGAGATGCTGAATCAGGGGCCACTGAAGGCCCTGAGGGAGGAATAACTGAGGCTACTAAAGGCCTTAGAGTCAAATTTGATAAGATAAGGATTGCTGAAGGTCCTAGTCTAAGAGTTAACATGGTGGATTTGAACCAACCTACACCAAAAATGGAAGAAGTCGAAAGATTCCTCAATTTGGAAAGGGGACAAATGAGTTTTGGCCACCCTAAGGCCAATGAGACTCTACGAGAATACCTTTGGAGGTGTCATCGAAGGAATTCAGAGATGCTGATGTGTCCAAGGTGCAACATTACTCTGAATTGAAGGGTTGCAGAGGCTTACGAAAGGGAGCAGCATGCTAGAACCCAGGGCAATTGGAGGCACGAAATCCAGTTGATAAAAGTGTACCCAAATCCAGGGGAAAGTTTGCTTGGTTTTTTGGTACGTTGTTATAAATCTAAAACAGAATGTTTGTTATGTCCCAAGTGTGGGCAATGTATGATAAAGAGATGGTTGAAATGTTTGAAAGAGTTCCATTTACCCATGGATGGGACAAGCAAGGTAGCAACCCCAACACATATGT